CTTCTTCGAGTAGAGACGGCGCCACGCTGTGATGTTCGAGTTTCATGGCGACTTCGTTGCCGGTCTCAGCGTCTCGCCCTGTTCAACGTGAGATTGCATTTTAAGCTCTGGGGCGTCAGCGGTGTGGCCATACCCAGATAGACATTGCCAAAGGAACCGGATCCTAATTTTCGCACCAGGTGGTACTTGCCGCCGATGGCTATATTTTGAACGCGCTGCACAAAGCTGTCCATGCTGTGGTCGTTACAGTCGTCCATCGTCGACATCCTATCATGATGATATAATCCTCGAACACTCGCTACACTTTCCCCATGGGCCTTAGTTTCGTCCACGGTTGCCTAGAAGCGGGCAGACTCGACCCCGACACGCTAAGGCGGTTTACAGCCTCTGATCCAATCAACCATTCTTTAGCGCCTGCAGCTTGAAATCGTGTCAACCTCTATCCGACGCAGACATGTAACAAATCCATTGACTGGATGCGAGGTGCTGCATCGATAACCTGCCACACCTCTCCTCTCAGCATGCAACCCTGCCTAACCGCCGTGCTATATCGTGCCCTTCTTCGCGGCCGCCTCCTCCCCCTTCCTCCTCGACCCTTTCTCCTCGGCCCTTTCACTCTTCCCTCATGTTCGCCCTCGAAGAACCTCAGTCGAGAAAGCGACAACGGTCCTCACAATCGCGCGAGGATTTCGAGCCGGAGCCGATAGCAAAGAAGCAAAAACTTCTTTCGGAAAGCCGTGACCTCCCTCGTCATCGTCCTCCCAGCTTCTGGGACACGTTATCCAAGATTCGATTGAGTCGCGGTGCTCTCCGAGAGTTTGACCGTAGGAACATTGAAGAGAAGGTCCAGCCACCTTGCACACTCACACCGAAGGTCGAATATCCCACAGGGCGTGCTCGCCTACTGCTCAAGAGATTTGCTCGACGTGGTGGGCCTGATCTATCACACCTTCGAGGGGTAGGTCTTACCTATGCCGACGTGATCCTTGTAGACTGACCAGAGTTTGTGACAGCTTGCCAACTTGCCTCTTCCGATCCTCGACAGAATGAGCGGTTATGCTCGTTCTCAAAGCGGGAGACGGTCGTCAGCCTCCTCGAGGCTAAGTGACCATACCAAGACCACCTCTACTAAGACCACTCCGTATAGCGGCAATTTTGAGCAAAAACTGATCGACAATGCCATCTACCCCAGCCTATATGAGCATTCAGATGGACGTTTATCACAAAACCCGGCGAATCTGAGTGACATCCGGGCCGCACAACGCCACCCTCGGGCATCTCTATCACCGTCGCGATTCACTGACGAAGATTTTGAAGCCTTTCAGCGGGCCAATGCAAGAGCGTCCGGCGAGACTACGGGGATGCATAACTTACTCCCCTTCATCGCCGGAAACGAGGCGGGCCATCGTTTCGAGATGGGTCTACCATTGGGCAACCTGAAACCATTCGACAAAGATCTCAGCGACCCCAGCCCCGATGTCTATCACGGAGCGGCACTCTCGACCATCCATCCGCGGGTTCGTGCTGACTTGGGACCTTACATCATTCCATCGACGGTCGATCTAACTCGTCCGGCGGCTCCGAATTTCTTCGTCGAGGGCAAAAGCCCTCAAGGTCGAGCGGATGTAGCAAAGAGACAAGCCATGCATGACGGAGCATTTGGGGCTCGAGCTATACACGAACTTCGGAACTACAAAGCTGAAGAGCCAGAATATGACAACAAAGCACGAAGCTTTTCTGCTACCTATCAAGACGGCCATCTTCAGACCTATGCGCACCATCTCACTGCGCCGCTCACTCCCGGAGGGGAGCCAGAGTATCACATGACTCAGACAAAGGCATTTGCAATGACGAGCGACAAAGAAACATTCGTGAGAGGCGCCACGGCCTACCGCAACGATCGGGACTTAGCAAAGAAAGAGCGGGACAGCTCCATTGCCCTTGCCAACGAGGTGGCTCGCCAGATGCCCGCGCCCACCCCAAACACGCCCACCCCAAACACCAGCTCCACGACCAGCCGCACATCCCGTTCGACGGTCATTGCTGCCGGATCGGACACCTCCTCTGAAGACGAGCTGGCTCGCGATGAGGTGACCCCGGTTAAGCGCCTGAGACCAAGTGCGGCGTCATCCACGAGCTACGGTTCTGCAACTGGACGAGATGGCCGCGCTGCCTCCGGAACTCCTACTGCTGTCAGAAAACCACCCTTGGCACCACCGTTAAATACCATATCGACGTCCAGACGCAGTGGCCGGCCTTCTGCGGAGGGAAGCTTGTTGAAAGCAATTAGCCACGCACGGGATGGAACGGACAGATCTTCAATGAAGAGACCTTCAGACCTCCCCAGGCAAGCACA